ATCTGGGGGTGCCCGGCGGCCCCGCGCCCCGGGGAGGGGGGCCCGGCGGCAGGGCCGGCACCCTTGGGCGCACGGGGATGCCCCGTTGCCAGCTCAAAGCAGCAGATGCAGAAAAATCTTAAAGATGGACGTCTCCATACCACAGACTATTGCTAGGAATATTTTTGTTGTTTGTAAAGGACAATGTGATAATTATTATTCCTTTAAAAAAAAAAAAAAAAAAAAAAAAAGAAATGACACTTAAGTATATTTAAAAAAAACCATGTTTTTTCCAGTTGGAATAAATGGAAGTATTCATCCAAAGGGCAGCGTCTCGTGTATGTTTTTTGCTCTTAAGGAGTGTTGGTTAACTGTGAGTTGGAAACTGGATTTTCATTCAGCTGGTCTTGCAGTGAGAGCACGAGAACCAGCTCAGCCCCGTCCCTGAGGCGGTTCCAGTGGGCAGGGAGAGCTGGCAGAGGCGCGTCTCCTGCACACCATGCCCCTTCCCCGGGATTGGTGGCCCAGACCCATTTGTTGGTGTTAAAAAAGCCAAGTCTTCACCAAGTCAGCGCAGCTGAGCCGAAATCCCTGGTGGGCTTATGCTGGAGGAGACTTCAACCTGTAATTTACAAATAACCGCCTTTTTCTTAGAAAGATCACAGATCTTTCCATGTTTTCCATAACAGACCTGGTAAGTCGGGTAGGGGTATTGCTTTCAGCGATAAGTATGACACTATAACTACAGGTTATTATATAGTTGCTGTTTAATATGTACAATTTAATTCATTGTCAATGATTAAAAGTACAATGAATGTTGTCTGTCAGCCCCGGTACAGCTGAGCCGCGTTTTGTACAGCCAGAGCATGAATCGCTTAGCAAAGAACTTTTCCCCTTGAACTGCTTGCTGCCTCTCCGCAGGGGAAATGTACCGAGCTTTAAAGACTCCCTGCAGCAGAATTGCTGCTCCTTTTTCCTCTGCAATTTTGTACCAAAACCCAGGGCTCAGTGCCCCTGTGCATGGGATGGTTTCGCTGCTGGAAGCGGCTCTTCAAAACCCGGGTCTTGCGGAGAGCATCTCTGCATCCCTGCAGACCGCTGGTGTGCAGCCCAGCTCTAACGCAAGGCTGGAATCGGGAGAGCGAGGAGTACCGCAGGCGATGCTCCCCTCCGCTTGGCCCTGCACCAGCGCCACAGCAAGGTCTCAGGTCACGTTTTGTAAGAAAGGTGGTGCTGGCAAAATAACGAGTCAATACGAATTTCAGCAATACAAGTGCACATGCAGCTTCCATTCCTTTTATATTTTTCATATGGGCTCCAGAAGTCCCATACACTTCAAGAGACATGGTTTAAAAAAAATAAAG